AACATCTTCATTTTTCAGCGGACTGCTTCGATATTACTCCCGACTGTCGCTCCCATCTCGAGCTGTGCAATCACTCCAAATATAGGCAACTGATGAAGGAATCGTGTGCAAAATCATGCAAACTTTGCCAACCAGCCTGCAAGGACAGGCACAAGAAGTGAGTTATCTGCACAAATGCTTACTCTTTTCGCTGAATGACAGTACATATTTGGTGCGAGCTCGCTGAAAAGAGTATATCCAGCTGAAATCGATCCTCAATAACAAAACAAAAGCGAAGCGGTAGCTCCAGTCTGGAGTACCTCTATACTACCACATTTGTCAAACTCTCAAAAAGCACCCATCAGAAGCACACCGTACGCAGCAGCTATAATGCGAAATACTCAGAACAAACTAGCGGAACAATACCACCATGACACTTTCACATCTTTTACAAATTCGACTCGCTACATCCCAAACGAAGTAGACTTTTCCTTCCTCCACTCATCTAGGGTGTGGATTCTGTAAAATGCTTGCCTATGATCTCGATACAATCACTTTCCCAAACTCGTCACTGTCAACAACTTTTTCTTTTGTTGCAATAGGTTGCAACCAAATACTGTCACAAAGATGTTTCTTGATGGTGCCGCAGTGAAGATTACCGGTCCACTACTTCACGATGAAACCTTTCGGATGCTTTGAAACCAGTCCATCAAGAGGGTGGCAAACGTAGTATGAACATCAGAAATCCAAGTTTTCCATTGCAGTTGCCGTCAATTCGTTGAAGATGGTTTCTGTGAAGACAAAACGTACACGATTGAAGAACAAAAGTACTTATGCGGATTTTCGTGCAACTTTTGTCAATAATATCCTAATAACATAATAATAGCATCATGATGTAACTCTGTATCAGAGGGTAATGCGTAAGCTGTTGTGTTGTAGAAAAATGTTGTTCTGTTTATATAAAGACTACCGTTCTGCAATAAAATACACTGTGGTAACGAACATTGTCTGTAGAAAGTCTATAGAAAGTCTTGCCAGCATCTGATGGCAGATTCGTGATTTCTGACGCCCGACACTCAGAAGATATGCACAACACCCATCGTCATCTCACAGGAGGACAGAATGAAGAGCATGCGCTTTCGAGTCGAATCACAAAGATATTTACGAAGTACGCCAACAGGTAATCTCATCTAAGGCATATCCATGGGTAGCAAGCATTGCTTTGCCATTGCTTCATTGTCTGGGGGGTGTAAGTTACCTGATTCACAACTTTAATCGCAATCACCCAAGGAAATTACAAATCTTATGCCTACTCTGCACCATGCGGCGGGTGCGACGCGCTATTCCGTTACAAGATCTTAACTCTCTCAAACCACTCCTCTTGCAGGTTGCAATAGGACGGGACGTTGCATTCATTTCGGGTCCGTCGCCTAAAAAAGTATATTATACGAGTGCTCTTCGCACACCGTTTCAAGGAACAGCATGCCAATTTTCTCACTGGTCGTTTGAGGGGAATAACAATCGAAAACGAAAAGAAAATCTACGCTATAGCACGTAAACCTTTCTCGAAAATCGCCTCCCATGTCCGGTCCATTTTCGAGAGCCCTTAACAACAAGATGTAGCCTAGCAGAAGTTGACCACTTGTAGACAAGAATCCAGCAAGTTGCGCACCGCATTCTCGTCGCCAACTTGGTTCGTGCGGCGACGGTGGGGCAGAATGCAACGATTTAGAAGGGGGTGTTCTGGAAGAGTTTGTGCACGATTACGGAGAGACGTGCGCTACTTTTTTTTAGTCCTAAAACTAATATCTTTCAACAGGTAGGCATTGAAGCTCAACCGTAGCGCAACAACTCGAGCAACGCAGCTACTCAGCTGATACTCACCAATCGGACAGTTTTTGAAGATGAAAAGAGGAAGTTTTGGTGGAGAATAGGGAAAGTGTGCATGGTGGTGGAGGGACATAATCCGAGAAAAATTCATCCCAAATGTGATGAGAGTAGAGGTCGTACGAGATCACCTTTGAGGAGATTGGCATAAAGGGGTATGGCTAGTACTGGTGTCAGCCGCAGCCCCATGGCCAGTCCTCTGATCTATGATCATCATTTAAGGAGAGATATCGTTTCGTACATACCATTAAACATAATGACTCTGACCAAAGAGTATTTGAATGCTACATTTTTGAGTGGCCCAGCCAGTATTATAGGCAGATCAGAGAACTGGCCATGGGGCAGCGGCTAGCACCCGTACTAGCGTATATTTCCGAAATAGGAAAGTCGTTACTGGATCGTCGGCCTATTGTGTACTACCGCTACATGGACGACTATTTTGTCGTCTGTTCAACGGAGCGGAAATGGACACGTGTTATGTCCTGCTTAACAGACAGGCAGGTAACATTAAATTCACACGTGAGAAGTCGAAAGATTGTTGGCTTCCTTCCCTTAATACACGAGTCAGGCTTGAAGGGGGGTCTTTACCGTACCAAATGGTATCGAAACCCCATTAACAGAAACATTGTAGTTTACTTCAATTTAGATCATTCCTTCAAAACGAAACGAGCTATCACAAGTAACAATTTTAAAACGGCTATATTGGTGTCATGGGGAGGCAGGAGAGAACTGACTCTCCAGAGCTTGCAAGAAATATCGCCATTTCCAAAGGTTATCCTCTGACTCATAAAAACAGTTATGGAGCATATATAAAGGACCAACGTGGCCCCACCATCGATAGCGTGGATAAAGTAGCGCTCTGTACCTCCTATATCAAATATCCTATGAGCTCTGGAATAAGGGCTGCGCTGCACAGGTGTGCCCTAAAGTACATGGTAGTGTGGTCGAAATCCCACCTAAAAATCTGAAGCGGCGGCTGGTTCGAAATCGCCGCTACAATCGAATTTGCTTGACTCCCAGTTGCGTGATCTACCCTAATGGACAGGAGGGTGACTGCATGACACCAGGCGTGATCTACCTGATCACTTGCAATCTATGCGAGGATGAATATGTTCGGGAGACTGGGCGACCCCTGTGCGTTAGGGTCAAGGAACACCTGGAGGGCTTAAATCGAGCAAGGGTGGAGACCCCCTTGGGTGCTCACCGCGTAGAGTCTCATGAAGGTGCGGTGTTCGAAATTACAGTTAGGTTTCTGTTGCGAGAACCCCTCACTTCGGCGCGGAAATCACTTGAAGCATTTTTCATCAGCTCCAGGTCCCCAAAAATGAATAGGAAGGACGAGTGCCTAGTCGCAGCTCGTGAACTCGCGCCTTTTTCTGACCTCTGTGGGTTTTGTTTGACCCCGCTATCACGGCGAGAGGGATAGGGCATATCACCTAAAGCTACCCACAAGTACTTGTGGGTTAGTTTAGCGGCGGTAGTCTAAAAGACCGGTTGTTTCTTGAGATGGGGTGAAT